TGTTCAGCCTGGAGAAAAGAAGGCTGCGGGGAGACCTGATTGCGGCCTTTCAGTACCTAAAGGGGGCCTATAGAAAAGATGGGGAAAATCTTTTTAGTAGGGCCAGTTGTGACAGGACAAGGGGTAATGGTTTTAAACTAAACCAGGGTAGGTTTAGACTGGATATAAGGAAGAAATTCTTTACAATGAGGGTGGTGAAACACTGGGATTGCCCAGAGAGGTAGTGGAGGCCCCATCCCTGGAAGCATTCTCCTTCTCTGGAGATATTCAAAGCCCGCCTGGATGAAGTCCTGTGTAGCATGCTCTAGGTGAGCCTGCTTTAGCAGGGGGGTTGGACTAGATGATCTCCTGAGGTCCCTTCCAACCCTTACGATTCTGTGATTCTGTGATTCAAGGCCAGGTTGGACGGGGCTCTGAGCAACCTGATCTGGTTAGCGGTGTCCCTGCTCCCTGCAGGGGGGTTGGACTAGATGACCTCTAGGGGTCCCTTCCAACCCAAAACATTCTATGATTCTATGATAAATGAAACCTGTGAATTTTAAACATAATCTTGAAATCACTGTACCTTGTCTGTATATACAATTATTTGCAGAATTGACTGTTTTGGCCTCTAGCCCCTAAGATCCTCAGCAATAAACAACCATCTCACGCCATCAGTTGTGATTACCCAAAACCGCAACCCTCCATTGCCATGCTGACTACAAACCCCCTTTCTTACGCTTATCCCGACAGCTTCGGTGGAGCGCAGAGCTGCTAGCAGCCACCTGCCCTTATCCCAAACCTCTCACGCTCATGGCAGGAATAGTGTGGTGTAGGCTTGGGTCAATTGATTCAACAAGTGCAAAAAAAAAACTTCTCTGGTCCTTGACAATTTTTTTATTGCTATGAGGGACAGATAGGAAATGCCATGTGACTAAATAAAACATTTAGAAAGTTGAAAGACACGCATCACATGAACGATACATTGTAGCTGCGTATTAATTTTGAAAAAAGAAAAGCATTGAGTTGGAAATACAACCACAAGAACTATTTCTTGAACAAATACCAAGCAACAGGGGAACAAAGTGCAGTCAACCCATTTTTTTTAAGTGTTCACTGGACAGCAAGAAGGAAGAAAAACTTCTATGAATTCCTGGAGCTTTTGACTCCTGTAATTATTTCCTAAATCATACATGAGTGCCTATATTAACATTTTAGATAAATGACCTAGAAAAACAAAACACAACAAAGCCGTGTGTGCGCTGAGGAGAGAGAGGGGGCCAAGCAACTGAACTGTTTTGACAGAGCAGTTTTAGATTAATTTATCATTTATCTGTAACAAGAGTTGCCGTTAGCAGTACTTCTTGCAAATTGCAAGGTCATTAAAGCTTTCACATGCCCTTCTGAGCAGCAGATAATTAAAGGCTTATCTAAAGCAAACTCAAATCAGTTTTTGCATGGGAAGCTCTACCTGGTTAGCAAAAGCATTGAGGATAGGGTGCAGAGTGAGAGCCTACACGCTGAAATGTCTCCATTTCTGCTGGTACTGGACTAACTACATTAAAACAACACAGCCGTGTCTACAGATGGCACAAGGGCACCTCCATTTCGCTTGCCGACATTCCCTGGTTTACCCAGGTCTTGTTACTACTTTTTAGTTATCCTGAGAGAAGTGGGTGATAAATCAGACCATTCTGGAGGAGGTAGGTTTGAAGTGTGGTTCTGTTCCCCAGAATAACTTCATGACTATGGCTGCATCGTCAGAACCTGCACAGAGACAAAGCTTGTGCCTGTTACCGTTGACGATGACGCACACTGACACTGCTGGAAAGTGGCAGTAAGAAAAGACCTGCATTAGGGTAATTCATTAGGGTCACATGGGCTCACGTGTGGATCACAGCAACTTTCTACACCCCCTTTAGCCACATCAGTCCTCTTAAATAAATATGGTCACATGAGAAAGATTGTATTTCCTCTTGTACGCTGGTATTTCTGTAGGATTTGCGAGATCTAGAGATCTAGGAAGTTTAGTTGTTCAGTTAAGCTGTGCTTGCATCATGCAAGCCTAACTTTGCCTTGCAAATGTCCTGCTGCAGACCATTTTTTCAGGTGGCTCCTTAGAAGTTTGGCACTCGGTACATCACTGACAGGCAATATGACAGAAGCCTCACAACTAGTGAAGTCATACAGTCGTGGTACTCCACAGAAATAAGATTTTTGGCTGTTTTAACAGATACAGAACTTAATGGGCACTTTAATTACTACATTCACTGTAAAGGTAACAACCTTGATTTTATTTATAGTGGACATTTCACTCTGCTGGAAGTTCTGTATTCACACCTTTTTTGAGGCATAGTGTGCACCAACAAACTAAGAACCGCGCACAGAAGTAGACCGAAGTAAGGAAAGCATGACATGGAAATACCCATGATAAACTGCGTATTAATGAACAGATCCTGCTGCAAATCAGCTCTTCAGTTGCCTGTCTTGTTATAGCCTTACTGGCAGACAGACATTCTATCACTTAAAAGCAACTATATTGGAATAGCAAGCCACAGAGGTTTCGCAACACCAAAAGCAAATGCATTAGAGCAATAGTGGCCCTGAGATTTATGTCGATGTTACCGTAAGTTTAATATCGTGATATGATATGATATGGTATCAACATGAGAACACCCAAAATACAATGCTGCTTCAACTCTGATGAGTATGTCTGCATTGAAAATCTGCTCGGTCCAACTAATTACATCCTCAGTCTCTGTTTTGGAACAAGCATGCTAACCTCGACTTAGGTTTTTATGGTATTTTGCTGGTGACAGTCCCTTGCTGAATCATCTAAAGACAAGTAACAGCTATAAAACCAGAAAACACTATTCATGTTTAATAATTTACTGAAAAATATAATTTTAAAAAGGTAGGGAGACTTTTCAGAGGTACAAATGGGAGGTAGACACCTCACTTAAAGGTGTTTTGAAGGCCATTCATAATCTCCCTTAATGCTTAGTAAGTGGCACTTGAATAATTATTAACTTGTCTAAATTCCAAAAATATGCTGCCAGTAAAATGATTATGGTCTCTGTCTTACATCTAAAGGTAACAAAGCCAGAAAATTAGAGACAGAGGTACATGAACATATATAGGCACCTGTGAAAACACCTCTAAAAAGATAAGATAATTGCTTCTATATCACTTGTGTGGAAACAGCACAGAAGAATTACTGTATTTCCCAGGGCATCTCACATCAGATGACAAAATCAGGAACACCAAACACCTACAACCTCTCCTCTGCTTGTTTTTCTGCATTGTGGTAACACTACTACATCTCAAACACAAAGGAACTTTGTCATGTATAGTCCACACTCAAGAAAAGCAATGATAAACTTCAAGAGAAGAGACAAAAGCATACAATATTGTGACACAATAAAGACAAGTTAACATTTCAAGTTGGAGTTGCTGTAAACAAGTGGTCTTTAAATAGCCCTCTTGAAATACCAATTTAATTCAGAACAAGACCTGTGCTGCGTAGCGCTGGAAATATGTTTGCTAAACATTATACCTCAAAATAAATTGCCAAAAAAAAGAAAGAGAAAAAGACTTAAGGGATTTTCAGAAAACTTAACACTTGACAACCTCTCCTGACAACTGGAATGCTCAAATTTTTGCCTCAAAGTGAGTGGTCCCTATCTTAGCAAAAGCCTTTAAATAATTTTTATCTTATTCTAATAATAAAACCAGTAAGTTTACTTCTGTCTAATTTTCATGTACCTTTCCTTTTAAAGGCCTATGGCTTAGTGTTCACAAATTAAAAAACATTTGTAAATACATAAAAATAAAGCTTAACAGTACACAATATAAAAAAATATAAACTTCAAAACCGTTACATTATTATTATTGAAAAGTGCACTACAGTTATCTGTAGGTCAGAGATGCTTTGATCGTGGACATAATTTCCACGATTAACTCCTCAACAAAGTTTTTCATCTTCTTAATTAAATGAGAAATCTTTCATCCACCAAGGTTTTGGATGCCAAATTCTTCCTCCCAAGTGTATTACGAATAAAGCTAAATATCTAAGAACATTTTAGAAAAAATGTGTTAACAAAGAAATAGTTAAAACAGTATGTTTCAGTACCTAACATAAAACAATAACTTTGTATTATCTTTAAATAATAACATGAATGAATTAGGTGCTTAATTCCCTTTATCGTTTTTTAAATATTTTCCAGCACCTTTTCACCCTGAAATTATGTGTGATTCATTTTAACAGATACTTGTGTTTTCTATTGAAATGCATTTTTAGCCTCTTTATTCATGACAGGCATGGAAGTAAAATTAATTTCTCACAAGCCTTTTTGACAAAAAAATCAAAGAACTATTTCATAAGCTCTCAGTATAATCTGTCACCACAAACTAACTTAGTGCTTCAATTATCTAGTTAACTATGTAAACTTCCACACTAACCCACATTTTTTAAATTTTGCTTTGTTCTTAAATTAAAGTTTACCTCTTGTTGCAAATATGTTAGAATAGCGGCTAAAACAAAACTTTGGGAAGCCAGGTCCACAATGGAGAAAAACAGGATATCAAAGATGAGCAGTGTTGTCTCATTGCCGTAATAAAGGACATCAGTGAAAGACTGTCTTTCATCTACAGAAAGAAAATAATTTTTGAAAAATTATTAATTTCTGTGAAGTGTAAGGTTGTGGAGTTCATCAGTCCACACTGAGAAAGCTGATAAGAAAAAGGAACGTCAGAGGAAGAGCTAGTTATGGTATATACATGGCATCATAAGAGCTAGTTAATGTCACTCTGTTTAAGCAAAATAATGCAAACCTTTTCACTTATAAAATGGCTTAATACTGACGGAACATAATAGGAAAAGCCCACGTGCCACATGCAACTTTATTCAGTCCTGAAATCTCAGTCAGATTGTTTAAAAAAGGTGGCTTTGGACAAGAAGCAGATAAAACTTCTTTGCCACTGTGTTAACTCTGGCCCCAACTCAACAAAGTAATAAAAACATATGCTTAAAGCCTTACTTAGGAGAAGGTTCAGAGCTTAACATAGTCTTTGTTCATTGGTTAACAGTTAACAAACCAGAAAATGGGTCTTAAGCTTCAATGGGTCTTTAAGCTTAAAATACCTTTTTCATAGCCAAAGTAGTCTAGACCACTTACCTACTTATTTTATCAAAAAGCACCACTTTCAAAAGAGAAAAGAACACTTAAAATAGAGTTTCAGAAAACAGATTCTTTTCCTTATTTTTACTTTTTCAGAAAAATGTCTAATGCAAGTTTTATGGAAAACAGCATATTTTCATTAAAAATTGTGTATGTCCCACTGCCGTGAAATCCTGGTTTGTATCTAAATTTCTGGGAACCGTGGCAGTCTAAACCATCAAACAATGGATTTATATCAATGCTTACGATTATGAACTTTGAAACAATGGCAGACAAAAGACCAAACCTTTGTTGAACACTGCACAATTTGGAGACTTCGCATCATGCTTACACACTTAATTCTAACTCAGACATTGCATACCTGACAATATTTATGCCTGAGTGGACCTGGGGTTTAGAATAGGGTTTTGGAATGACTGATATTGCAAGGTGTGGAATCACAGACTGAGGCTGGAAAAGCCCTAGTTATAGTTTTAAGGCAGATACTGGCTATCTGGCAACATTTATGACTAAAGATAATGCTTCACCGTGACAGGGGAGGAGAGCTCAAGCCTTTAAAAAATTAGGTCTAGCTCAAACATTTAGGCTGAGCAAAAATATCAGACTACAGCCATGGCTAGTTAGAAATCATGTGCTGCATTCCTGATTATATAGCAAGGTTTGAGATTCAAATTAGGCTTCAGCTTTTGCAGTCCAGGTGTCACAGAGCAGGAAAGGTTCTGCACAGCTTAGTGATGTAATCTGCAGGTTGCTATTATACAAGAGTAATGACATATTGAGGATGTGTAATGGTCATCTGGTAATATCTATGGATTGGATTACGGTTCTGAAAAGGTTTAGAGGTTCTGAACAGTGAGACTGGAGAGCCAAGTACTTGAGGGACTCAAAATGAGGGCTTGCATTATCTTGGATCACTAGTTAATGTTTACTTTTTATGCAGGTGGTGGCCATACCTACAGTTAGGCATAAACTCAGGGTCTGAACTAAGGTTTTCAAAGACAATTTTTGATGGATTCTCTACAGCTCAGGGACTGAGGAAGCAGACTGGTGTCAGGCCTAAGTTCACAGCTCATATTTCATGGCAGTGTGGATACTGGTCCCCAAACCACATCTGTTAATAGGAGGAGATCAGGACTCGGGGTTTCAGAACCTTGGATATGGAGAACCTAACACTGGATGAGGATTCCAGTGCTGCAGGTATTGCTCACCTGGCAGTAATTATGAATTGCATTGGAGAAGGAAAACCCAAGTCTGACTGATCTTGCATTGCTCCAGGGACCAGAATCAGAACTGGTGTCATCCCCGTTTCTGCTGGAATACTCATTTTTGCTGTAGGTATTGGCAATACTTAAAAAGCTTCAAAATAAATTATTCAAGAACCCAAATTATTTAGTGGAGCTTGCAAAGATGAACAGCGTATTAACATCAAGTATTCCACTAAAACACCTTCACTGTGGTCAATATCCTCTTTAAAGAAATTGTCTATTTGTACTTTTAGTTGTTGCATAAGAAATTTGGTTCTATGTAAAAAAAAAAAAATAGCATGGACCTATTTAAATGTTGTGGGTCTTCTTTGCATTTACAAAGCAGATATTGAATCTATAAAGCAAGTCAAAGGAGCACTTTGTAAACACGTGCACATATCTACACAGTACCCTTTCAGTTGCCTAAAAGAAAAAACGTTGCAGACGAGCAACAAATTATTAATAGGATTTCTGTAACCTGAAGAACATCTCTTAAATACCTCCCTCACAAGCAGTCATTTAATGACCTCTTCTGCTATAAAGTCCAGTTTAAATTGTAAATCCTCGGAAAGAAATCTACACAGAAACCTACATACTTATGTATGCACTAACACCAAGACACAATTTTTTTTTACCAGTGTAAAAAACACTTTTCTCTATTGGTTCCATGAATTCCATGCCAAGAATCCGTTCAAGCAGCAACTTATCTTTAACAATATAATCCATTTCTTTATGAACCTGTAAGAAAAGGAAAAACAATACTTCTTGTTTTATGATTTCAAAGGAAAAATACTTGTTACAAAGTGAAGTACAGCTACTTAGAATGAATACTTTATGAATGAAAAAAAAGCACTGGTCTGTTCCAAGTAAAAAATAAGTACATAACAAAAAAGGATTTGTCATTTTTAAGAGCAGGCTGCACTCCTGAACAGTACTCCAATTTTTCTTTTTGAATGAAGTACTATTCCAGTTGCCATCAAGTCTTTAACAACAAGTCTTTAAGCACATATGCTTAAAGAGGAATGACAGTCTTTCAAATTTACAATTTTCAGTCTCTACTTACTATAACTATATTTTTTCCTCAATATAGTAATGTCAATATACATACGTGATCAATAAAAGAACTGAGAAATTTGTTCATGGTGTTGTATGCCCTTGTGCTTTGCTCGAAAGCATTTGCAGATGAGTCCAAAAGCCTAGCAGGACCACGTTTCTGAAATATAACATGACCATGACTCAGCAGAAAATGTACATATTTTAAATAACATGTACAGAATACAGTATCTCACTTACTCTTGTTATGGCTTCATGAATCCTGTCATAGTGCATTCGCATTTTTCTTGAAATGGAAATCTGAAATGTCTGGATATCTGTGTTCGGTAACAAACCTCTTTGACTACACAGATTTTCCTATACAATTAAAGCAATTGTAAATTAACATTATTAATGTCATTCATAGACCCCCAAAAGTCCAAAGCTTTTAATTTAATCTCTTTCATGTACACATAGTACTTAATATCTGTCAATATTTGAATCCACTGCACTCTCGGTTCTATTATAGCAAGATTTTCTTTGGACATGAAATCCTGACCCCTGCTGTCACAAAGACATATTCCACTTTTCACCTGTGTTGAGTCCATTGCCTTCTAATACATCTTTTGACATTCATTCTGAAGACCTTCTTTTATGTTTATCATTTATTCTATGCTTGCCCCACTTTTTTCGTGCTTTGGATTCCCAACTTTTTCCATATGTTTTTCAGGTCACATTTAATAAATCTCAGAACCCCCCCTAAAAAGAGAAAATTTGACATCTCCACAGGGAAACCCCCTGTCTTTTCCAAAGTTATATTAAAATAAGCAATTAGGAAAAAATATAGGAACAAACAAGTCAAAAATATTATTTAAAAGATTCCTCTACATTTCAGTGTTTTCACATGGTTATGCTTTTTTCTGTCCACTTATCATTGAAATAGCAATATCCTTTGTCTAAGGTACTTTCTTCCTACTTGTCCCTACAAAGATGGAAGACGTCATGAAATATAGTGCAAAGTGCTCCAATCTTGGATTAAACATTTTACATTTGCCTGATCTTGCAGCAAAGATACAACATACAACAAACTAGAAAATACACTTATTCAAATTAATTTCTGTAAAAAATAGGTTATATCACCAGAGAACAAGAGAGGAACTAAAATGATTTATTGGAAGACTAAATGTGTCTTTATTAGGAGTTTTTCAGATTTGTCTCTTTATGAAAGCTTCGTGGTATGCATCTTCTTGAATGTGGCCATGAGCTTACCAACAGCTGGTATCTCTTAAGTATCATAACGATGCAATGCACAAGTGCAGATCCATAATGCAAAGGTGAGGGGATTTTTATAAAACAAATATTTAGAGCAGGTGTAAACTTTACTACTTTTACTTACTGCTTCTCTCTTTAGGTTCATATTCATTTCTTCCATATTGGTATCTGCATGTCCATGCACAGAGCGACCGTGGATATAATAACCAAAGCAGATGTGTGACAAGAGAAACACTGAAATCTAAAAGAGATGGGGGAAGAGAAGAATACTTTAATTAAACATTTTAATTTTATTTTTGAACTTCTGAATTCACAATGGAGATTGGCAAGACCAGCCCTTCTACAAACACAAAGTAGGCAGGTACCAAAATAAATATGGCAGAAAAATATTCGATAACTCTTTTACTGATTAGTTTTACCTATGCTTAACTAGATACACACACCAGCTTCAAGTTTACTTTTGCAACAGCAAGGATCACTACTTAATTCTGCAGAGCCAAAAAATTAAAGCAAAGTTATTAGCTTTTATCTTGATTCAAAAGTTATTTCTGTGATATGTAACATGTATGCATGATTCCAGTTGAACTCCTAGGAGTATTTAATAGAATTTCATTCAGTATGATACAATGTTTATATATCAAATAAACCCCCAAATTAACTCTCTCTACAACCCATGCTCTACATAAAAGGCTGTATTTTTTAAAAGTTCTGGCCAATCCAACCTGTTCTGACTGCACTCTTCTTTGGTTAAAAGGAATTCTTGCGGTACAAAGCTTCAAGACCCATATTTAAACTAGAGAAAGGGAAGTAGTTCAGATGTGAGTAAGTGAAAATGCATGAAAAAGGTGATAACTGTCCAGGAGGCACAACCATAAAGTTCAGCGGTTGAGGAACAACCACAAGATAGGAACAGAAACTGAACATAAACATGTTAAATAAAACAGACACAGCTGTGTCTGTAAAATATGTAAAAGTACTAAGATGCAAACCAGGAGAAAGAATGGCAGCAAATGGCTCCACACCTGATTTCTGTCATAATTTGTTACTTTTTAATTCTGTATGAGCATATGTAACCAATTTAATTGCAAAAAACAACCTAAAAATCACACGTCTAGAAGAACGTATTTATACCTATGTTTCCAGAATCTTTTTCCAATTAAAGTTTAACTGAAATCTTCTTGTAGATTTAAAGAAACATTGACTTTGGCTGTTAGCTAGTAATCTCTGATTGAATTAAATGAATAAATATTATTATTCCATTAAAAATGCCACTGTACAAGTGAGACAAGGAAATACTTACATTGCTCAGGGAACACAAATCAATAAATTGGCTTATCTTATCTTCAACAAATCTTTCATAAAACACAGAAAAAAAAATAACCTGAAACAAATCAACAAAATTTTCTTTCATTAGTTCATCAGATTTGATTTTATTAAGCAATTGACTTCACAGTTTTAACACCCACAAATTAGAGACTTCTGCAGTGGCCACCATTGCATTGGACTCTATGAAATGGGACTGACATCCTTCCTCCTAGAAGTAAATTGTAGCAATAACCTGCTTTTCATTTTGAACTTGGAGATGCTTCAAAGTTGTTTAAAACAAAACAAAGTAGTTGTATAAATTCACATCTTTGAGAGGATTAAAATTCTGACTCCGAAGTAAGATGTCTCATAGCTCAGAAGATTCATTTGGAGTTCTAAAGGTGTATCAGCGCTATGATACATAGTATGGATGGCCTAGTGATATATATTCTAGCTTCCAAGAAGCAGCCTGAAAATGATAATTCAGCATGTCATGTTTCACATACCTGTAAGAAGGCAATGGCTAGCCAGAGCGCAGCAGACACACCAAATCTTAAAATGCGGCTCCAAGGAGCTATGTAACTCTCACTGCTTCTTGTAAGACTGGAAGAAGAATCCATTAAAGCCAGGTTGGAAAATCCCACCACCTGAAGAGATAAGAAGGTCAATATAACGACATGAGGCAATGAATAGTATTAACTATGACCCTGTTGTTTCCATCATAACAGGAAGTAAGAAGAAAAAATTAGGAAAAACGGACCTGGGAATAGTAGCACGTTCACTATGATAGAGCCCAATTGTGTGACCCAGTGTTATTACTGAGAAACATAATTAAGAACATAAAATGTACCTACACGTATTGATACATAAAATACACGCATGCAAATCTCACAACAAATCAACATTGAAAAACTCCAAAAGATTCTATTGTTAGACTGCATAGGCATATTATTTCTGCCAAATTTCAGCTTTTTGATCCTATATATTGCAATGATAAAACAGATTCTTTATCTGTTTTGCAACTGTAAGAAACCAATTTTTTTGGTTTTATTCAACAGAAATATATTTCCCTCCACTGTCTTTATGTCTGAATCTATTTCAAACAAACAATCTAGAAGAAGTTCCCAAATAAAAAAGATGAGAGAAACTCTATGTCTTGAAACACTTAAAAGGTGAAAATTTTGTGAAAATCGTCCAGAACTGGAGCTGCACCAGAAGCATATTTGGGGTGGGTTGAACCCCACCACAGTGGGACAGGGAATAGGAAAAAGAAAAGCAAGAAGACTTGTGGGTTAAGATAAAGACAGTTTAATAAGCAAAGAAAAATGTGAGATAACCCCTTATGACAAGTGATGCAAAGGCAATCACTACCTCCCTCCCACAAGTAGACTGATGCCCTGCCAGTCCCCAAAAAAACCCTCCCCTCCATTTTTACTGCTGAGCATGATGGTACGTGGTATGGGGTATCCCTTTGGTCAGCTGGGGCCAGCTGTCTCGGTTGATTTCTCCTCCTAGCTTCTTGCACAGCCCCAACCTACTCGCTGGGGGCTCTGATGCTGTGCAAACGCTGTTCAGCCATAGCCAACACACTGGTGTATTATCAACCCTGTTTTAGCCACAAATCCAAAACACAGCACCCTATGGGCTGCTATGAAGGAAATTAACTCCATCCCAGCCAGACCCAGTACAATATTGAAAAGCTCACTTTTGCTGCCACAGTGCTACCTGCACTGGCCATGTAGTCAACACTGCCCTGGTGACCACCAAGTGGCTGCTTTGGTGCCAGACGTGAGGCCTGAGGGGAGGGAGATGCTTTCCAACTTCCTCCAACTATTACTTTTCCTGGCTTCTTTTCTACTACTGTACAGCCTGTCACCATGATTAATGAGAACTGAACAGTCGCTTTAGCAAAATGGTAACGGAAGACGACAGGTTTTGAGCAATACAGAAGTTCCCCCTTGTAGTGAGCAGCCGATTGCTCTACCTACCCCATGCATTGTACTGCTGGGGGAAATACATTCCAAACTCCAGCATTACAATGAAAGTTATAAAGATTATCTGTGGTTTTCACAAACACCAATTTTAGCCTATTTAGGTATCTTTCATGACTTCCTCCACCATCAGTGACAAGAAAGGGATTCTCCAGAGGGAAACTCATAGCAGGAATTATAGAACAAGATGTTAACCACTCTCCACTAAGAGTAGCCTCTCCTTTCTAATAATACTAGGAGCCTACGAAGAGTAACCTGAGGAGACTGGTTAGTTTTGGGAATACGAGCTCTCTTTTCCCCTATTTCTTCCTTGTAACGTGGCACAGAAGTTGTTTCTGGACAGTATTTACCAACAGCAAAAATACTGATGTAGCGAATGAGGAAAGTTTGGGGGTTTTTACTGCATAGAATTTAAAAGAAAAATAGAAAATTTAAAACCAGAAATATAATAATGAATAAAAGTATTCAAAATACATAAACGAACCTCACATAAACTATATGCTACACCTTTTAAGAGTACTTCCCAAAAGTACTTACCAAACTACTGAAGAAACAAACTGAAATGTTTTTGAAAAGCTAAAGCAGTTTCTCACATATCCTTACTGTAACTGAAGGCATACTGCCTTGTGTAATGCCATCAGGAACAGAACTGGCACATTTAATTTCCTGCTTTATAAAAGGTCACTACAGCAAATTAGCAGGAAGCAAGCTCAGTTCAGATAAATATGAAACCAGAAATAAAGCTCTAGACTGTGGCAGGAGGGAGCCAGTAGGCAAATAAAGAATTGAGTGTGTACACAGATTTATCAGTCTCTTAAGCCATTTAGGGTAACTCATTACCTTAAAAAACCCAAACAAAACTAACAAAGGTTTCTAAGGTAATTAAAGGTTGGTTTGGATTTTTTTTAAGTCTTCCTTAATGAAATACTGCAAGGACCGATACATATATATAAATTAAAAAATGTATTAGAATAATTATTTTACTAAGTTACATGTCTTCAGGTGAACTTGAAGGTCATCCACTATTACAGCAGAGAATGTAAGAATTAAAAACCAGACCCTTATGTTACACTTGTGAATCACAAAAAATTAGTAACAGTGACAATTGTAATAATACCTCAAGAAAAAAAAGAACTGCAAGCACTTGAAAGAGAGGGTTTATCTTCCTCATTGTCTGCATTTCATTCCATTCATTTGCTATAAAATATGTCCTCCATATGCTCACAGGTGCAGGAGCACTTTTAGTAACACCTTCACCTAAAAAGAATACATACAATAAAGCTCTGAAATTAAATACTTAAGAGTAATACCTGAATTTAACCAAAGCTATTTATACAAACAGGCATAGTTTGAGTTACCTTCAACTGCTTTAAGAACTTTGCCCCTAGGTCTTTCCCAGTCAATGAAGAAAATATCTATAGTAAGTTGTGAAAACAGCAACTGTAAGAATTGCAGAGCCTGAGAAAGAAATAGGAGAAATATAACAAGTAAGGACAGCAACAGCGTATAGACAAAGATGAAGAAACAGTCATTGCACGTCATTCAGTAAACATAACAAGCAATATACTTGACTATACTTGAGACTGCAACTTTGTTACCAACTTTTGACACACCTTTTTTTTTAAATGTGAATGCTTGGAGTAATGAGAAGTCGTGTTACCATGTCCAAAATAATGAAGAATATACAGCAAAGTAACAAATTCAAAAAAATTTGACTCTTTTTTGAAATTAAATGAAATGAAAATACTAAGTTTTCCCATGACATAGTAACCTGTCCTATGAATTCCAATTCAATATAATAATTAATAAAATACTTGTATGTCCCATGAAGACAAGAATACTGTTCTCTGAATTCTACAAGTATGCTTGAACATAATTATTTTAATTGGTCTTCTTTGTAATCAGGAACTGACAGCACTACTATTTGGCTTTAAAAGAAGGCACCTGCTTTCTTGATATTGTGTTATTTTATTTGGGTTTCTTTACAGCTTGAAGAAGTAATTTTCCATAGATCATCTTCCTTAGGCATTTGTTTCCCTATATAGACTGCACAAAATAAATGTCTGTGGAAAAATTACTTAATTATTAAAATCAAATAACTGTTTACATCTATACACTAATAAAATGAACGGTACCAGATGTTTAAAAACAAGCCTACTGAAAATACATAGAAGCATATGCTGAAATGTCTTTAATGCCTGAGGAAAAAAAATATTTACCTTTAAACTAAATGCACAAGCTATGTATGTAACAAAATCTTCTTCTTGAGATGGAAGTGGTAAAAGGACTGAGACAAACTGCTGAGCCTATAATTAAGAAGGTACATTGAAACAGTGTGGACAGCATATGTAACAACATACTAGGTGCTTAAGGTTTTGCAGAAAAAGATCAATATTTAATGTGTAATTATTTTGAATATGTAAAATATTTTAAGTGACTATTAAGCAGACTGCAAGTACAATGAATCCTAAAGAAAAGAAAGAGGTGAACACAAAATTTAAGCACACCAAACAGAATATGATATAGAACTTGCCTCAATAGTCTGACCAGAAAGGCAAAAAAAAAAAAAAAGAGAGAAAGAAGAAAGAAAATGAATTTTTGTGGAAAAAGATATGCAATATTAATAGGTTTTCATAACAACCAAATCTTGAAAAACACTTACTTTGAAGAACACAAGCCAATAAATCCCTGTGCCCACTGTGATGACAAAGAAAACGTTGGCAAGGTCTCCAGCATAAAACAGTAAGAACTTCAAAATCGTCTGCAATTATAAAAACGCACTGTAGAGATCTGTAAAACTAATTAAGTAATGCATATGTACATTCATTTAAAATGTTATGCAGCTCACACTACAGGCAACTCCAGCACTGAAAAGTAGCCTCAAATAAAATTTTTCTACTATGGTCATATATTTATGGTATATTCAGTATCTGAAACTCCTACATGCTAGTCTTTTGTTCAAAGAAGAATTGATCTGAAAACTAAGGCTACTCAATTGATTAGAATAGCTCTGTAAATACCTTTATTTTTTTTCAAAAATATTTCCTAAATGACAATATCAGAATCAAAAGAAGTGCAAAAAACCTACTTCCTCAAGTAAGCCTAGCTCCAGTTCTATGCAGCTAGGCTGGAAATTATTTCAGTTACCTTAAGAAACATAATAGTTATGTCACAGGGAATGATAGCGAGGGTCTCCTTAAAGAGAGGAAAACGTGTCCCTCTTTACGTCACCAGCTGTTTATACCTGCAAGTCAATTATAGAGCTTCCTGTGCGCCTCTTCCAGCCTGCAGTCTTGAGAAGGGACCATAACACTGCAAGCCCACCCAACACACCCAACGTGATCTGAAGAGAATGAAAAATTATTTGCAGACATTTTTAAAAACCACAAAATAGAAGTAAATCACTATATGGACAAATTAAAGGGCAATACAACTTACATTGGTCTGAATCTGAGCCTCTGACTGATTCATCTCATAGTTGACTGAGAAGGAAACCTGAATATTAAGATACAGAAAGTAAATATGCATAGTAATTCTGAAATGCTACAACCATTACAGACAGTGGTAGCTTTCACACTTTTAGTTACTAGGAATTCCTATCTAGGACTACTATACAAGCACAACACATATACCTTCTTTTACTGTATACATCTGACCTGGTGTGCTACAGTGCTTGCTTAGTACTAGCATATGCTCTGCTACACTTAGTGCAGGTTTTACTAACAGTAAAGCTGGGGATGGATGCCTGCTATCTGCAAATTACTAGCTGCACCTAATTATAATAATTTCAAATGTGCATAATTTTTTTCCTTCTGAAAGGAGACACCAAAGGTTTGATACTTTCCCTTTTATCAGTGTTGATCAAAAGTAACTTTAATGTAATTACACCAATATGCAAAATCATAAAGTGAACTCTTACATAGCTCAGACACCAATTTTTTTTTCCAGCTTGACTGAAATAAACGTTGTCACACAGCATCAAAATTACTCTCCCTAGCTTAAATATCTATTTAACCTAAGACCTATTTGGACTTTGATCTAAAAGATTTGTACAATGAAGAGAAAACGTTCATCTTGGTTTTATAGCATTCTGGCCTCAATCTTTGTCACTGCAAGGCTAAAGTTAACACAAGTATGATACTGAATAGTATTTTTAATTCAGTTTTAAGAAAAGGCACAAAACCCCTGAACCCAATCCTTCCTCTTCCTCCCCTTGGCTTCCCAAAGCATTTGTTCCTGTCAGAGCATATTCTATCACCTCACTTGGATTTAAGTCTAAATATGATTGGTTACTAGAAGCTCAGTGTTTACAGAACTATGGAATGAAATTCAATGTATCTTCTTACTTGCATAAGATTTGTTAAATGCAACAAGACATCCAAAACTGACAACACCTAAGTAGATCAGATGTAGATGTAAGGGTGAAATAGTGTAACACAAAATAGAGAAACTGAAAATAATTGTTCCTGCCATCACCATTTGGATCAATTATTTTCTAAAAATGGTGCTGTTTCTGTGGTTAAATAAAGACATCATTTAGGCAGGGAAGAAGTGTCTGACTAATTTTTCTGTCTTGCTAATGCCCTGTCTCCTCTTTCCTTTCATGCTAATACAGAATGCAAGGAATGGTTCTAGCACCAGAAATTTCTAGCTAGATGCCTATCTGTACTGAAAGCCTGGACTGTTGAAGGTTGATAAGCAGAAAATGTTAATATTATAATTTTTTAATAGCGGAATGATTATGCTACTATATTAAGCTCAACATTTTCACTTTTTAAAGCGGTGTGATCTAACAAGCAAGGCACAGTAATGGGACATCTGAGCTGCTGCCCACTATGGCAGGCAAAAGAGCAAGTAGGAAATGCCCCTTCTGCATCTGCTACAGCAGAATGTGGCGGCTTTCAGCAGAGGAAGATCCTCCCAAACTAGTCTCCAACCTCTCTGGCTACAGATTTTCAGATTATTTTACTTTAATTCTTAGAGATGTGCTGTAAAATAATACACAGCAGACAAAACAGTAAAGGGCGTTTTAGATATATTACCAATGTTTTAACTTAAACTACAGGTGACCTGAAACATCTGCGTCATAACAACCTCCTCTTAATGCATCGCTTTAAATAAAAATATTCAACTTCTTCCATAAATTGATGCTTTCGGTGCATTGCATAAACAGTACTTTTCCTGTTATTTTCTGTGTGTATAATTTTATTTGTGTTATTTATATGTAGCCTAATTTAGCATTATACAATCAATTGTAAAATTCTAAGTATTTTAAGTTAAAAAAGACTCAAGATAAATTACAAAGAAAATACTTTCCACTGCTTTGTTCTAAAAGCTTTAAGTTTTAGTGAAAACTTGCAACTTCAAAACTGAGCAGAACTAGCAACTGCTTACTAGGTTTTTACAACACCACCCCCCCGCCTCCCCAAATGTTCACTGAACTGGAATTCCAACAGAACTAAAAGTTTGATTAACAAATCAGTTCAATTAAGATAGCACAAAAATCTCACCACCACGCTCTCGGTTTCAGGGTTTTGGACAAGCACATCTGTGTAAGCAACAGTAAGTAGAGGAGGGTAGATAGTTCCTTTCCGAGTGTGGGATGCCAGACGAATACTGCAGAAATAGAAACAGAGTATTATTTTTAATACAGAAAATGGATGAGTTGCTTGGAAAGTATTGATTGAAACTTGTACTAATAAGAGAATACTAAATGAACAGAACGACCTGATCAATAAAATGTGAGTTTCAAACCCAATGACACAGCAATTCACATTTTAAAAGCAACCAGTGTCCAAAGGCATGTACACAAACATATAAAAAGAAAAAGCTGGGAAGGATTGCCTATTTGTAAGAAAATAACTGAATGAATCTTTAGCTACTGCTCACATTATGATAGCTGCAACTGAAGTAAATTCCAAAAGGTAGCTTTTCTCAAAACATTACAGAATTACCTTTTCTATATTTATTTTCAGTTTCTAGCATTATCCTTATTTGCAAGGGGCCTGGGTGGGGAGGGTTCTTCTAACATACATAAGCTAATTCTTATTTTTTGAAATAATGTAATATGTAATTCTCAGCAAATGGAGTTAGTACATTAAATTAATCTTCAAGATGATTATTTGTATGGATCATTACTCAGAGCTACTCAGAAATCTTTGTAACTAATAAGTTGTGAAGAAGAGCTGAAGGAAAAGTGAGGTCTCAAATTTTAGACAGTCATCTCAGAAGAAGACATTACATAAAGAAGGAGAAAAAAATGGTTCTTCCAAAACATATTCCAGTTGAGCTGAATTATCAGTAATGACCCTAATGGGTAGTCTCACAATTTCAGTTAAATGACTACAAGCCTATTCTGAATTGTACAACAGAATAGGCAACAGTTTGTAAAAATACTGAAAAAAAGCGCATGAAATAGCATCCTTGTATAGTCACTAACATACACATTGGAAAAGAATGAACAGAGGAGTTCTTAGGTCTTTCCAGATGACACCTGCTTCTAAGAGGTAACTGAATGCCTGCTAACTCACATTACACATACATAGTCTCATCCATCTTACGTGGAAAGCAATCACAGCAATTTTAACCCCCACAAGTCAATGTTATGTTTTCTCACTCACTCATCAGAACAACCTGTGGAAACTCTTGCTGTTTCCAAGTATGGAATGGAAAAAGCAGCACAGGACATAATAGAAACAACATAATAAAGCAACTTTCTTTTAAGACAATAAAATGCAGTCTGCACAAAATTGGCTTTATTTTCTATGGACTATATTATTACATGCAGTTAATCACCTTATTGTTATTTTGCTAGCAACTCGAATTACTCTTGGTCGTTTTCCCAAATCATTATCTTTTCCACTTAGCGTATCCACCAAAAAAAATCGACGAGTCAAAAGCCAGTTGTTCATATTACTGCCTTTGAAAAAACATGTCAGTCATATAATTTTTAAAAAAACAATTCAACACACAAAAAGAATGAAATCTACTAGAAAAAATACGTATAGCTGAGACATGTAACTGTATACAGGATGTAAAATTATATATTTTCAACTTAAACAAACACATAATGAAATTAATTACTTTATTTGTGCATATTATTGATTGGGCCAGTGTATGCCACCAAAGCTTGCATTAACACTATCAGAACTTGCCCACAAAATATTAAATTCTTAAAATAGAAAGAAGTTATGGTGGGTTGTGGTATCTTTAAAAACAACTCAGTGACAATAATTAATACAAATTCTTTCTATTTGAAGTTATTCAGATTATTTAAATTGATAGAAATGTTACTATGACAGTCTTACCTTGATTAACAAACATTTCACTGTATTGAAGATTCAAGTTTAAAACTGGCACAGCCCAAAGAGATTGCTTTCCATTGTCAGCAATATATTCAAGGAATAGGTCATAAAAGATTGGATTATCAAAATCCAGTAAAATCTTGGAAACTGAAATTTTGCACTACAAGAAAAAAATGTTAAAATAAACCGATCATTTTAGCCATTTAATGATTTTATAAAATTGTAGATTCTTCCCCTATAAAATTATTGTGCAATCTGTCCCATTTCTTTGGAAAAGACAAGGCATTCCAGCTATTTGCAAGCAGTTACAAAGTACTATAATTTTATACAAACCTCTCGGAAATTACTCCACTTGATTAGAATGACTAATCTGTAGAATGAAGCTCTGCTAACATTTTTCAACAGATTAGGAAAAAATATCCTAGCAAATTCCACAGACATAAAATTTAAAACAGCATAAACACTGAAGTCAAGAAACATGAACGCTGCAGTCGTGGAATACTGTGTCTGGTTCTGGGCTCACCAGTACAAGACAGAAATGGAGCTACTTGTTATAGTCAAGTGCAGGCCGTTAAGATAATGAAGGAACTAGAGCATCTCTCCTGTGAGGAAAGGCTGAGAGAGCTAGGACTGTTTTGCATGAAGATGAGAAGGCTCAGGGGGGCTCTTATCAATGTGTACAAACATCTGAAGGAGTGTTTACAAGACAGAGCCAGGCTCTTTTCAGTACTGCCCAGTGACAAGACCAGAGGCAATGGGCACACCCCAAAACACAGGAGGTTCCCTCGGAACATCAGGAAATGCTTTTTCACTGTGAGGGTGACCAAGCACTGGCACAGGTTACCCAGGAAGGTTGTGGAGTTTTGCTCCTTGGAGATGTTAAAAAGCCACCTGGACATGGTCCTAGGCAACCAGCTCTCGGTGGCCCTGCTTGAGCAGGAGAGTTGGACAAGATGACCTCCAGATGTCCTGCCTACCTCAACCACTCTGTGACTGTGTGAAGAAATTAAATGTGAAAGTAGGTAGTTTTCTGCATATGTGAACAACCATGCAGTCTTTAAATACTCATATAATGTGTCCACCATGTTTTCTCCAAAGCTGTAGGAAAAAATAAGTGATGCATATAATCCATGAAAATAATGACATTAAAAAATACTCAGTACGTTAATATTTATTGGCATTTGTATTTAAACCCAGAAATATTAACTGTTGCTAATACCTAACAGGTTCTACAGACTCAACATATAAAATAGATAAGATTTTTAAAAGGACAAAAATAAGAATAACCATACTTGACTAGTTCAATGATCCTAAATAGGAAAAAAATTTACATTCTGCTGAAATATGGATTAAACAACATTAAACAATATGGAAGAGTAAAAATATTTAACAAAAATTTGTCAAAATTATTTGGTAAACATTTCAGTTTTCAAGGGCTAAAGCTTTCACAGATATTACACTACAAGACTTTCACACTACCCAAATAGCAGCTAGAATTTATACATTTTTACACTGCAACACATAAAGTGGGGAAGGGTTTTGCATGTAGACGAGTAAATAACAATATTAATGAATATATGGTTATTAGATGCTGTGCACACATATGGAGTTTTAAAGATGTTTCCCCCCTGCCCCCGCCAAAGAGACTACCACCTCCCCATGTAACACGTAAGTGACAAAAACTAATGAAGCTTTATTGCTGGCAGAACCATGTCTGTGGCTGACTGAATTTAGCATCTAGGTATACACAAGCTCAAGTGCTTTACCCCGTCTCCCTTTCCTGGTGTCTAGTAAGGTGTGAAAACTCCACTAGTTTTTCCCAAAATTAAGACAGCTAAAGAATCTCTTTCCTCTGATGAGTCGTATGTTTGATTAAAACTTGCCTTCAATCTCTTTATTGAATGCACTGAAATCAGGGAATACATTGAAGAGTTAATGGGGACAATATACAGGCATGGCATGATTGCATATACCTTATTTCCCTATGAAACCTGGCCGAAGATGGAGTCAGGAAAATTAGAAGTTAGAAGGCAAAGTATATGACTCTCAGAATTCAGGCATTGTGTTCTTCCAATGATAAGTCAGCAGCCTCACTAATACGAATGCCAGTTCAATTTATTTTGATTATCCTATGTAGTAAACAAGTTTTGTGATGTATAGTTAAATAATTTTTAAAAAATACATTTATTTTGTTCAATAATAAAGAAATTAAAATAAGCAACAGTTTCACAAGAAAGAAGTCCATGTTGCAGCTTATGGCTAAACTCCAGAAGTCCTTCAATATACGCTGAATTACTGACGATGTATAAACCAACTTAATTTAAAATTCAGAATAGCATTTCATTTCTTACTTACACTTTGTTGGTAAGTTGTTCCAAATACATAAGCTGCATTCAATTTAGTTGGGGTATCAGGACAAAGCTGAACAAAACATAATTATAATTAGGTTAATTGAAAGGTACAATTTTCTCACATGAAATATTCACAGGTACCCCAAGCAGTATTCACAGTTCTCACAAAAGATATCTTGTTCTATGTTTTAAGAGAAGGATTGATTTTGAAGAGTAAACACGATTATTTATTGCATTAATATTGGTATTCTTAAAATGCTGGTTTAGCTTATTCATACTGGTATAGTATTTTTCAGTTCCATCACTGAAGTTGAATCTGTGGACAGCAGCATCCAACCAGGCAAGAACAGTCTTTCGGGGGATTCAACGCGCTGTGCTGCCTCAAGCTTTATTAGTGGCTTCTGCTAAATCCAAGCATCCCATGAGAAAATAACTCCACATTTATATTGTCCCCTTTCTCTTAAGCTAGCGTTCTCAGAGGATCAAAGTTATCATGGCAAGTAACAGAGTATTTTTATTCCTTTTTCAATGTAACTTTTGCACTTTCTGCAGAGAACAAGCCATTCTGAGCAGAACCCAGAAAAATGGACCAAATTCTAACTAAATGAGCATGGCATTTAATGGAGGGCATGGCTATTTTCCCAAAATGAAAATCAAGCCTAAATTTACATAAAACACAATTCTATTAGTGTGCAATTGAAATTCTGGGAACTGCCTAAATTATGCATTGAGGTTGCTTTAGCGCTGCCATGTGTTATCACCACAGACCATCTAGTGCATTAAAAGAGGCTTTGAACAGAAAAGCTATTCCTTTCCCATTGATTTTTGACAGCTACTAAAACCTCTGCATTTAGGAAATTAATGTGTCCCAATAACCCTTAAAATCTATGTCAGAATATCTCATTTTGTATTCACAGTAATTGGCTTAGTAACCTGTTTTCTCAGACACTAGCTTTCCTTAAAATTTGAGAGGCAGATGCAAGATGGTTCATCCTGAGACAGTAACAAAAGAAATAGCTGTTATTTAAATCCTGAATGTCAGCTGCTCTTCTGTAGATACTGGAGCATTTGAAGTGATGTGCTCCAAGAGTGACATGAAGAGCCTAGAAAAGGGGACAGACAATTCCCAATTGTTCTTGCTATTGTTGCCAGCGTAGGGAGTTGTCGAGAGTGCCTAGATCACCACTGGACTACTAAACAAACTCTACTCTGTAACATCCTTCACAGCTGCCAATTTCTGCTAACTGTTAGGCTAATTACTATTGCGCTTTCCTCTTGTTTCTTCCTTGCCCATACAGCATGGTACCGCTGAAGTAGAATGTGCATGTGCCACTGAAATCTGAGGGTAGAGCATCCAAGGGAACTGTGAAGCCTCTAGCCAGCGTTCCCCAATTCTACATAAAGCAAGTTATTATAACTTTCTGTTATGAAAAAGCTAGGCAGATGCTGACCAGAGTGTGTATTTTATATTAAAACCAAAAGAAATAAATAAAACAAAAAATCCCAAGAGAACTGAAAGAAAATGGGGTGGTAGATCAGTTTTCCTACCTCTCTTGAGAGTGACATAATCACTGATTTGCTTGGCATCCCTGTAACATGTGAAAACAGGTGACAATATCCAATAGGGACATACTCTCAGAATTTTCTATAAATGCACGTGGACTGAGAGCTAAAGAATATACTTCTCTCACCAAGAAAAAGAGGGCTAATAATAAATTACGTACATGGGTAACTGTATGCTGAATGGAAGAAAGAGGTAGTTGTTTCTAAATGACTAGTGCTGTTTTTCAGAGCTTTCCAATATCCCAAATTTATACCAGTCCAACGGATGAGGGCAACATTGCTGAATTTATACTTTTGATTTTGTAGAGATCATTGTGTGCAGGAATCAAGGGCTATTTTCCCTGACCTAGCTCTACGGTTATCTTATGAACTGTCACTACTGTAGTAACCAAATTCTTGGCTTTTGTCTTAATTTGGCTAAAGGCAATCAGAACGTTATGTTATCAACAAAAGATAATTAAAATCAAACGTACCTGTAAGATGCCTCCTTCCAAATTCTGCCACTTAAGAAAGTTTCCTGCTGCATCAAATGAGGCTGCAATAAATTGCAGCTTTACATCCTGATGATGAAAAAAGATAAAAAAACCAATGAAACTTCCATAAAGTGGACATACGCATTTTAAGGGATTGCTGTCTCAGCATTTGATGCTTCCCTAAAACTTTCAGCATAATGCTTCATTTTTCCCCTTTGATTTTATGTTTTTAATCTTGGTTTTTGTAGTTTACTTTTTTTAAAAAACATACTTTACAATTCTACAGCTTCATTGGTGACGTGGAAAAAGTTACAGAGAACTTCTATACAGGTAGAAATGCCCTAAATTAATCAGAAATCTATGTATACCAGGCTGGGATCTTTAAGGGCTTCCAGGACCTTCAGTGTTAGGAAAAATAACAAGTATTTTAATTGTTAAAACAGAAGCTGCATTACAACATTGTGTAATTTAAAACATAACCTTTTAGAATATGGCTGAAAAAAACCATTATTTTATTTCTGAGTCATTAGGAAAACTTGACACATTTGGCAATATAACTGACAAACAGGTTATCACTAGCACTACTTACTTTCTGTGATTAGCTTAACCTGAATAAACTATTTCAGTTATTCTAATTTTACAATGAATCCAGAAAAATAAATGCTTAACTATTTGATTTCTTCTTAGAACTCTGACAGTAAACAAGCTACTTAAGGAGTTCATCCCTGGGAATGGATACCCAGCTTTGTTAATGTTGAAATGATTGTTTTTCCTCACCTCTCTTTTTTTTTTCCTAATTCACTGTAGGAACAGGAAAAGGCTGGAGTAATAGACTGAATCCATCGCTGATACAACTCAACTTGTAGAGATTTGTAACAGAGATATTAAGCTTGGTATAAATGAAGTATGGATAGAAATGTGTGTGCAAGCACCAGAAGGAACAGAAGGAAAGGGTTAAACACCACAAAGAAATAATGAAAAACACTGTTCCCAGCAATAAAGCTGAGAGGCGGGTTCTGATAAACCCATGGCATAGACAACTTGTCAGCAAAAGATCAGGTACCTTGGAACCAGGAGAATGGCAGCAAAGTTACAATACATCACATATACCACCCTTTTTCCAATTAGCTCACCAGGACAACTGACAAAAGGATGTATATATTTCAAACAAGGGAAAAAGACAAAGACCGACTTTGCTTCAGATTTATGGGGACTGAAAGAAACAAGACTCTGAAGCAAAGGACAATGCCAAAACAACTACTAGCTCCTATGGGATATAAAAGATTTGTCTAATTGCTAGTTCATCACTGCCAATCCAGAAGTACCTTGGGGACATAATGAGAACTTAATAGCTGGTATCCCTTGTTCCTTGTGTCACACACAATTGATCCTGGTCAGACCACTCAGGCAAGCACATCTTGGCCTTATGAGAACATGGGTATGAGAGCATGACCAAAATAAATGTGTGAACAAGCGAGTGGCAGTCAGTGAAATCATCTTACCTACAGATTTTGTATGTAAATATCACCTTCCTCTTCCGTAAGATGCCACGCTGAGTTTTGTTACACTAACTGCCTGAAAATTACCTTTAGTAGAGCCACATCTGCAATGAATCTAAACCTCTTTATGTGATTATGTCCTCTTCCAAATGCCTTTTTCCCTGTGTCTACTACCCAACACCTACCTTATGATTTGCCTCAAGCACTTGGGATGCTAATCCTGGTTGCTCACCGTAATATAGCCATGGAAGATTATGCCTCCTGAAAAACAATTACAATGTTTTCTCTAAAGAAACGTAACATTTTGCATCAAAGAACAAGTAGAATAATAAGTTCCATAAAACACTATTAAAGACTGAAGTTATGGAAAAGGCAACTTACCAGAAGTTTATTGAATGTACAATGCCTAGCCTTGCTGTATTGACATAAATATACTGAAATAAACCACAGGCATCAGTACTTGAACTCAATGAGTTCATATTCATTACACACATATTTCCAAGGGCTTGGCATGCTGTTAGATTGGAGTATAACTGCAGTGGAGAAACACAAGAACACAGAAAAGTATTTATTTACCCTTTCCTTTTAGTGAGGCAGTCACAAAATTAATGTTATCTTTAATAAGCCATGCCTAAACCCTCATTTTTACTTGAAAGTGATTTCATTTTGTCAACACCTAATATTTTCTTCCAGCTATTCAGGTTCCATTTTTTTATAAGTCTGCAGATGGCAGCATGAAATCGATGCTCTCTTTCAGTTTATTTTAGTTGCATCAGCTAGATGGTATGATGTGACAGAAATGTCAAAATCTGCATTTAGAAAATGAAGTAAGAATCAAAATGTTTAACATCACTTAGGCTGCATGACAAAGATGACTCCATCAAAGTCCTAAGACTGACAACTATAGTTCCACGTATCGTAAATATCTTCTCAGTTTTAGTACTTCTATTCTGCTGTTCCTAAACTATGTTGTATTTATATAATTGTTCAATTTTGGTAAAGAAACCACTGCCATGTGATAGGCAGAAGTGATGCCTGGCTTCTGTGTGCAGTGATCACTGCTCTAGTAAGAACTTGCCAACACCTATTGCCTTTGTATGGGTCAGATCGGCAGCTGCATGTTACACTCAGGCAGCACCTCTGAACGGCTGAACAGGCTGAGGTAGACAAACAGGATAAACTTACATAAGTGATGAGGATAGTCTCAGTTTGTGAAAAAGAATGGGTGAAGTAGAAGAATACATCTCAGAGCTGTGTGTATGAGATGGTGATGGGAGCAGCCACAAAAGTGATCTGGGAAAATACTGAGCAGAAGTCTGCTGAAATACTGACGGAAAGAATGCCTGCCAGCCTGGGAACTGGGCCGGGAAATCAGAAACATCCTTGAGAAATGCAGCTGGGTACCTAAACACCAGAGACATCCTGAGATACCGTTGATAAGCACAAAACCAAGGAGCTGTAGCAGCAACTTATCACCTGGAAAGGTGAAAAACAGTCTGGAAAAGAGGGAGAACATTCTAAGAAAGTAGGAATAAGCAACTGCTGTTGGCTATTCCAGCTGAAAGAGCAGAAAAACAATCTGGAAAAATAAAAACTGGTCTGAGAGGATATAAAACACCATCACCATCTATTGGCTAGTCCAGATGGTGCTGTCCTATACCCCCTTACGTCTCCGCAATAAAAAAAATGACTTATTTTTTACACAAAATGGAGAGTGACTCTGCCCCTGTCTGTCTGTCTGTCACACACACACAGAGAACAAACCCCTGCACAAACTTTTCTACTGGCTGTCCTAGGCAAATTATCAGGCCATGGCTGGGGACGCCTGGCTGACTCTAGACTCCATGACACAGATAATCTTCACAGTGAGACTCTGTCTGTTGTTGACTTTGAGGCCCCACTCCTGGGACTGTTTTGGTCAGCACTCTACTGATACTATTTTGAATAATACATATACATAGGCACACATACAGGTGATTGATCATAAGTGTATTTGCTGCTTTACTAGTGATAATTTCGTAGTAACTTGTAATATTGCAATATATGCTTACTGCTGCTGTTGATGGCTGCTACCATTGTAATATATATATACATACTTGCTTTATTAATCACAAGTATACTCACTTTACTAGTACTAATTTGGAGTAATTTGTAAAAAAGAAATGTAGGAAATAAAGACTCTGTGTGCTTGTATGTTACGGAATTCTGCAACCCTACTGCTGTAATCTTTACATACCTGTAAGCCTTTTGGGTCCTGACAGATTGGGAGAAAAGGTAGGCCTTGAGAAGTTAAAATCTGATTTTGAGGAGAGGAATATGGAGGGGAAATGAGGATGTGTGATAACAGAGTTGGTAAAAAGGAGACAGAGGCTTATCCCCTTCACAAGTGTGCATGATTCTGTTGCTGCAGTCACGTTTCCACCCATGGTTACTGCCACCCAGACCAATATAATGGTAAATAACACTTGCACACATAATTCAAAGCAATGCTATAAAGGATGGTTCTGTGGTTATCTTTCTCCATCACAAAATGGAATGATTAAATAAAAGCCAAATAAGAGGTAAAGAACAGCTGCCAATCAATACCAAACACATAAGAAGTTAATGTACTGAGTGAGCCCTTGCTGGATCTACTCACTAACAGTTCACATACTTACTGACTATTGCAGGATTTTTTTTTATCACCATTCACATTGTGAAGATTCCAACCCTGGAGACTTGCATTAACACTGACTAGCGCTCAATATCCTTTGTAAACATCTGCATATATATTTCTTTCTTATTTACTGTCATCTCAAAATTCTTTAAAAATAAGCAAGCTAACTTCCAAAACCTAAAGTGCCATGTTTTTATACAGAGTATCGCTTCTGCATAAAAAAGCAAACTGCAAACATTAATGTAACTCACCCAACAGGCAGAGGCTGAGGACTGCAGGTTTTTCAGAAACCATGCGGATGTCAGTGTTATACCCTGTAATAAGGAACCGCTTCACTGTCTTTGTTCAGAACAATTTACCCATAATGTAACAGTCTGGAAAACTATGTCAGCTAAAAGATGCTACTTATTTTTTTCTAAGAGGTTTCTCTCCTTCATAAATGTCTAAGTCAAACCAGCTCAGTTCAAGACAACCACAATGCAATAATTTGTTTCGCTTCACCAAATTACACAAAAGATACAGAACAAGAGCATAAATATTTAACTTTTGAATATGGATTCTGTGACATGGGAGTTTCTTTACTACACAAAGGAAGTACTAGTGATTCCAAGGGTAAGGTGTTGACTGGGTGGTAAATTTAGTTCAGAACCAAATTTGCCAATTATTTCATAACCTGTTTTTTGTAACTACTCATATTTGAACTAAACATAGCTTTCGTACATTCTGTAAGCAACTGAAAAGGCATGCTTTCAATAAAATATTGTTTAGAAGACTGCATTTTCAGAAAGCAAAACCAGTATTTGCTGTCAGAAAAACTGAAGACTGCTTTTTGCTTTCTTTCAAGCAGTAGCCTTTAACTTCAATTCATTTAAGAACAAACTACGTTTATTGGCCACGAAGCATTTCCTGAATTCAGAACTACAAGGAAAATGGTTCTAACTTCAAGCAGATTTCACAACTAATACAAGTTTTTTAGCTAAAACAATCGAAACACCCTCATTCTTCTCAATGGACCAAATTTTCAATCATGAGCCAATTCAAGGAGTTCAACAATTTCGTACACAATCTCAAATGGTACAGGTGTCCATTTTCTTCCATCAGCTCTAACCATCTGAAAACTAAAAAAGTCCTTTAAATCTTTATATCTCCTTTAAAATATTTTATATGAATACCAGTTTTACATAGTAAAAAGAAAAAGAAATTTAAAAAGCCCAGAAGCTCTCATGTACTCTTCAGCATGTTTTTGTGATGTATGTGTTTTAAATACATATAATTAATACAATAGATGACATACTACTGGTTTTGATACTAAATTAATGTAAATTACTTCCCTTTTTTCAGTTTTTAAGAGGGCATGAATTTTCTTAAACATATGCCATTAAAACAATACCTGCCTCGCCTACATGTCTACACTCTATCTTGATGCAAATTACCTTGCAATCACCATGCTCAGACAACAAACCACTGCCTTTGTTTTTCAGGAATGGAATTTAAAAGACTTACTGAAGGTAAATAATGAGATAGCTTGAAAATGTTTTAGAATAAACATACTTACTAGCTGTCCAAAACGAACAGTTGCAACTCCCTTCACAGGCAAGCTGTCACTAGCACTGAAACACAATCCCCCAGTCTGGAAAAAAAAACCACAACCAAACCAAAAAACCAGAAATAAAACCCCGGAAATTTATACATTTGTCAAGATAACTTTTCTTTTTCTGAGCTTCAATACAATAAACATTCTTCTACTTACTAAAATGTTTGGGCTGCTGCAGTCACAAGACTTGCTTACATTGATGAATGTTTGTTCACATCTTACACACCTATGGATCACAAACATGAAGAATGCACTTAAAATGTCATTAAATATGAGACTTAGTCAAAGCTGATTACATAGTATGCCTGATAGCACTGTCAGCACCTTCACTGGTTCGAACTGAAATCCAAAAGGCATCACCGATTTGTTTCAACTGTCAGTGAAGTAGAAAAGAAATGAAATAGTTAATTATCAAAATAAGAATTCTCTTTCTGCTTCCAATCTAAAGCCCACTTGTAGTCACACTAAAGCAAAACAAACAATCAAACCAAGCCGCTGGTCATGTAAGGACTTCAATGAACAGTGAGTTTGATATGGGGTTGAGGATTTCCAATTCACTGCTTTTAAAACTGTCATGCCAAAGATACAGACTGTTCCACAAGAATATTCCATTTAAACAGAACACAACACATTCAAATTTATCATCACAAAAGGAGAAGAACGCTCACCTATTTCCTGATGCATCTGAAGCAGAGAATGATTGCTCACTTCCATTACAATGTACACACAATGCTTCATCAAGCAAGATACCATCGATACTTCTTTCCACTAAGTGGGAACAAAAACCAACAGTGATAAAATTGCATGATGCACAGTATGTCGCCCAGGTTAAGAAAAGTGTGAAAAAATAAAGTGTCTATGCAGATCTAAAATAAATGCAAAGATTTTACTTAAAAAAACCCCAAAAAACAAAAGCACAACTTGCAAATAACATCCACTATAAATGCACATTCATATATGTATATGTGCATTGTTTACAGCTATCTACGTGCAGTCTAGTTTTAATGAGAAATGCAATATCTTATGTCTGGTTTTGCTGTTCCTGTGTTATTTATTCGCAAACAAATTTCAAACCAAGTCTTCACTGCAAAGCTAAACCTCAAAATATCAAGTTTACAAATTACTAGGAAAAAAGATTTGTAACTTTCATCTCAAATGACTCATGCAAATATCACTGATTCAAAGTTTCAAAATCGAATCTTCCAGCAATTAAATACTTTGGCAAGAGATTTCAAGTTTAATTATTAAAAAAAAAAAAAAGAGAGATACAAAGAGAATCAAAATAATTACAATACGAACGTACTTTCTGCATGATAAATTACAGAACCGGCTTGCTCTCAATATTTTACCATAAAGGCTTGGAATGTATTTTGTAACTCTCATAAAGTTTAAGGGAGATGATTCGGTATTCACTATTTACAGATTCCTTTTAAATTAATGATCTGGAAAACAGTGATTCTCCTGTACAGTCTGTTAGAAATGTAACCAAAGTGGACATTAGAAATACTTATTCAAAGAATTATGGAAAGTCTTTTCCATTCTGTGTCTTTGAAAATAAGGAAAACTAGAGCTCCCAAGAGCTTTTTTGCTTTTCACCCTTGATGAAATTTATACTTTGCTCTTAGTTTTTTATTATGCAAGATAAGCAAAAATATAGTTAACAGACAGTAAAGTTAATATTAAAATTAATTCTGTGTCTACTGAAATTAATTTGCAACTATTAAAGAGCATCAAGTAAGAGGCACAGATATAAGGAAGCATGTTGCAGGAAACCACAGATATGGGCATGTGTCTCAGGGAGGTATGAAATCCACTGTTATTAATGCATAGTAGTTTGCTTGGCTTGCTCAGGCTATTCCGTTCCACCTACTGGTATATGTATAATTCTGTATTGCAAAGTACCTACACATTATATCCTTCAAAACATTTTAATGATTTTTCTTAGTCTATATTGACATTGTTTTTATCCAAATATTAATGCATCCACCCAGTGCCAAACAGCTTCAAGGAAGTGATACACTAGTATTTGTTTTTTGAATGTTTGCATAATAGTTTTGAGAGAAGGGGTTAAGGGAATCTTAGTAGATAAGATGCTGCGTAATAATTGTCTAGATTGCTGCATAGCCCAGATAATCAAATTGATAGATAGTGCTCAAATGTTTTGCTAACTATTGTGTGAACTAACTGGCGCAGGAAGATTTGTGTCTCCTTACGAAGGACAGTTCTTGATAAGAACACCCTGCAGTTTGGGCAAGAGCAAAGAAGCAACTGAGCCTGCGCAAGAACAAGGGGTTACGTGACGAAGAGGAGCCATCAGCCTTCATCCCCACGACCCCCGACGACAGCCACAAGCAGGCACTGAGCAAGCACAGTCGGGAGGGACTTACGGAAATGACCTCATGGAGCTAATTTTAATACAAAGCGGGGACAGGTTATGCATACATATAGGCTATTGGGAAACTTCATGCATATGTAACACTTTGCTACATATAAACAGGGCAAGTTGCCACGTGGAGGTGGGCACGACTCTGGTGGGACTACCCCCTAGTGCTGCCCATCGCTGAATAAACATACCTACTTTACAATCTTACAGATTGTGGAGTCTGTGTCCGCACATCAGTTTTATTGCAGTGAACAGCGGCACAGATTTATCTGCTGTCTTTCAGAAATTAGGTTTAAGATCAAGAGGAATGTTGAATTTTTTACATTAGGTATGTAAACACGTTAAATTTCCTTTCTTTTTTAACAGAAGAGCATGTCTTAATAAACTCAAATATCTAAAATAAGCACTAATATCTCATAACTTGCATGTATTTCTTACCTAGTATTTCATTATTGAGGCATTTACATTTTCCTTCTGAAGTTAGGCCTTTGGGGCAAGTAATACAATTCCACCCATCTTGAGTAACTCCGGTCTAAAATAAAATGTAGAAGTATTATAATTTTCAAAAATACAGACATCACCAAATACCTGTGAAGAATGCCTGATCCAGATGTTGTTTACTAGAAAATGTGTTCAGATACAACAACATCGTTAACATTCATGAAGGTTTTAGAGATGAAAAAAAAAGGCTACACAATCTGGCAAAAGTAATTCCTATGCAGACATAGACTAAAAAAGTGTTCTTAAGTTTTTCTGAACCCATTAGCTAACACCCTTTAGTGAAGATAAAAGGTGATTAAAAATGGAAGGTTTAAAAAAGATCTAGAGGTTCTACACTGAAAAAAAAAATGGATAAACATAACTGCATAAATAGACATATGTGCATATAAATATACAGAAGTAATGGAAATGGAGGAGTCTTAAGTCAAGCAGCTTATATAACTGCACGGGATTTTGCACGCACCCAAGCAGTTCAAGTTCACACTTATGCTATACCATGAAGCAGCTGCACTACTGATCAGTAACCAATGAGGAAAATGAAGATAACTGCTCCTCGTCAGGTGATACAGATGTCATTCCCTTCTCCACTATCATCATTTTATCTTTGCATAAATCTTGCCATAGGATCAAAGATGAATGCCACCATTACAGGAAAGAGAAAGAGACACACCAGAGTGATCAAAACACCAATCGATATTTGTCAATGTCTTTGCCTAATGCAGCAAGAAGATGGAAGGAAGAGGGAAATTACATTACCCATTGGCCATTAAACACCTAACTTATGCAACTAAGCTGGTCTCTTGAGAATTCTTCTACAGTTATTGGGCAGGAAGAAGTCTTCAGGAAGGCTCTCACCCTGAAAAGTTGTTTTTTCTGGACAAAAATTATTTCTCTATTTAATATGGCAGGAAAAAGGTGGTTAAGCCTGGTGCCTCTGGCTCAATGCTGTGAATATGACACAAAATTATAGCTTAATCTGTCAAGAAAGGTAGAAAGAACTGACCAAAGACAAAGATATATATAATTAAAGTAACATAATAGCAGCAGCTCATTTGGAAGTAAAAAGATAAAGTATTGGGGACTACAAAGATACAGCCTAAATTTTACAATAATAGCATTTATATAGTCAAGTAAGATACCTCTGAGCTGAAAAGCATCTCTGGCATTCTATAAAACAGTGGTCTCCAGGCAAGGATAACATAACATGAAGCACAAAAGAAAAGCAGTGGAAGGAAATTAAACATTTAAAATACTCTTACATTGCCTGTGGGGCCAAATTTATAATGAAAAAATGCCTGCAAAATAACAGTAATAAACACTTCTAAAGAGACAAAAATTACTACCTATAAGCATGGTCTTAGAAATTCCCAAGCAAAGACTATTATGCAAAATAATTTAAAATTAATGAAAAATAACTTGCAGTCAGGAGGAAATTTAAAATTTAAAAAAACATTATTATGCCAAAGTATGAAAAATTCAATACTTACCATATTTTCTGGGCATTTTTCACAAATAACAGAGGACCCACCATTATTTGAAACCATCCTGTATCCTGGCTCACATACACATGAAGTACCTGAAGAAGAAACCCAAACAAATGCACTTTCAGTCTGTATTAAACAGAGTATTTTTTCCACAGGATACTGAGAACAACTGATACTGTTCTCAAGAGATCAATATAGATTATTAGATAGCTAAATAAAACATCTGAGTGAGATGTGCATGAAAATCACCTTGCTTTTCAAAAAAATGCTCATGTTACTGTTTGTACAAAGATGTTTTAGGAAAATGTTATTAGGCTGACTGATGTACCAGGGGGGAACAGGAACCCAGAGCTTGTGGTTTGGTGTTTGTTTTTTAAACTATATCAGTAGGTCAAATAACAGATATAATCTTTCCCTCTATATCTTGCCACACTGCCATTCTTAGCCCATCCTCTCTATACCACCAGCATTATATGTTTGTACACAGTTTTTATCCTTTGAACAGGAAGTCAGTCCTAAAACCAAAACATGTTTACATGCAAAGCTTTTTCAAAATATTACCACAGTTTGTAAAGCTATTTTAAACTCAAAGCTTTTAAAATAGTGCATGGGGATCAAGCTTTATATTGAATGGTTTTCAGTGAGTAACAGAACAAGCTTGACATTAGTATGAAATTACTTTTTCTGGCACATCATAGTGCACATCTGCTAGTGTTCAACAACTTTTTTTCAAAAACTTTTTCAGTCTCACTGTCATGGACCTCTCTCTGCATTTTTAAACACATACTACAAACCTATGTGCTAATAAACTGTATTTATTATTATTTAAGTTTATTGAACTGTGCATGTAAGAATCATGTAACATTTTGTGAGAAGTTTTTTAACTTTAAAGTACATCCTCATGAGACCAGTTTTACAGAAACAACATCGGACAAAATGACCATCCGTTCACACTTAACTATAAAGAAGAAAAAGCCCAATAGGATTAGACCAATGAAGAGACTTGAGCTGCAACATTCACTGTGATGATACCAAAATTTTTAGACATGTTTCCTGAAAGCAGAATCAATGGCGATGAGCTAGCCATAGAGTGCATGGGCAGACTTGTGCAATCCCAAGTGGAATTCAGACAAGATGCAAAAAGCAGACCGAGCGGTAGCTACCTACACGGCTACAGCCAAATGCTGCAGATAAAATTATATCCTTGACCTCCCCCCTGGAATTTATCTCTCCTTGAAGCCCTCAAGTTAGAGGAAGATTTGAGACTAAAAGGGATTTACGGATCTAGACACCCACATTATCAGGGGGTCTGAAAATGATTACAGTGCATTTTTTCTACAAGTAAACTACGGGGTTACCCCTTTAAGGTATCATGATGGTGGAGGGAGAGGTGACCGGCTTTCAGGCAGCAGTTGTGAACACAGCCATCCAGATCACTGCATCTGACTGAGGTGCCAGCTCTGAAGAGAGATGCTGTTGGGTTTAAAGTCTCAAATTTGTTTCTGTACACACAACACTGAACTCCAACTTTTCTTGGACTATGTATTTATAAAAGATGGACGCTACCATACCATCTCATCTCCTAAAGAAAGTGAGATCTACCATCTGTATTTTTCATTTAGTACTGTGAAGGTGTGTTGCGTACCCTCCAGGTTCCCATGGGGGACTTGGATTAGTCTTGGCCTGACTCAGATTAGTCACAGCCTGAAGGTCTCCAAGGCTTAACGTGTCAGACATTCAAGTTTTGAGAAGGAGTTATGGAAGCATTTGAGGAGAGAAATTCAGGGCCCTGTGGAAGTTTATTGAAGAAAACGTCAGTACCTGCAGCCATACAGCGGCCTGAGAAAAGAACGATTATTAAAAAAAAAAAAAAAAAAAAAAAAGACTATATTTCCCTGGGAACATATGTGCAGGGG